TTGGTAAATTGAACATGCCCTTGTCTTTCTCCATGTCATAAGGGCAGTTTTCTACAGTTCTTAGTAACAGAAAAAATATATGTACTTCCAGAGCTTGCAGACATCTGAAAAAAAACAGGCAGAAAACAAGAGGGAGAATAAAAACTAATATAAGCTAAAACATTATTTTGTAGTAAACAATAGAATATAACGTGCAATAGTGCAATTTCTCCTTTGCTGCTCCAACAATGAAGTCTTGGTAGATAGTCCACTCTATGTCAGTGTACAGCGTCCCACATCTAACTACGTGCTTGTCGGGCACTGCTGGGTTTGCTGGGCTTTGGAGCTAAGTTGCTGTGTCCAGGCTCTCCCTTCCCCTTCCCAAGGTGGCGGAGTTTCTGATCCCAGCGCTGCATATTGAAAGGCAAAGAAATTACAAAAGAGATTACAGAAAAAGAAATAAGTAATATGTAAAGCAACCACATGTGTTTACAAACAGCAGCAAAAAAATAAAAGCCATCACTGTTTCCACCATGTTACCTTCCATTGGGCTCAAATGGTGGAATGTGAGGTTATCAGTAAAAGTCACTTTAAATAGAAAACCCATTTCCTGGCTTTCTTGTAGCCTCTGTGAATGAAGGGGCTGACACAAGGCATAACGGCTTCACCAGAAAAGCATCTCGCCTCCCACAAAACAAAATGTAAATGAAGCTATCTGTGCAATCACTGTGGGAAGCAGGATGAAAAGTCAAGTGATTTTTATTAACTTTTTTAAAAAATTACTTTTTAAAATTTTAGTACTGATGACACTTTTGGAAAAGGAGATTGCGATGAGAAGCGGTGGCGATATGGCATGGTCCTCAGCAGCCCCAGGCTGGGCGTGAGGGCAGAGGCAGGGGGTCACGGGCCACAAGAAAATAAGTGAGAAAAATAAGTGAGTTCCCAAAAACACACCAACAAATGATACTGCCACCTGAGAACTGGAACTGAGCAGAAGTCAGCCCACAGCGGTAATGTGGTATTTGCTCTGCGGCACTGGATTTCATAAGGTTCTGCCAAATCAAACAACAACTTGGAATAAGATCCCCATATCTTATCACTCCTGTAATCTCTGTGGATGCGATAAATGTGCACAGAAAAAAACTTGCATTTTTAATCAGAACAGTATTTTCCTGCCAGTCACCATTAAGGCTGTTGAAGAAAGTGTTGAGTGGAAGAGAAGACTGGTTTGCACAGGCACAACCGTTACATCAAATCAATGGCTGAGAAACTGTGTCAAAATAAGAATACTCTGTGCAAAATGACACTCCTAACAATGTCAAAATCACTAATACTTTGAAGTGCATCAAAACATAAAAATGCAATCCTTCCAGAACTTGGAAGGCATTAGAATACATTTAAAGTTGAAAACATTAGAACATATTTTCATATATTGCTTGCAATTGAGCTCATTGTCCAATCTGCTATGCTACGACTTTCTTATCATGTACCTCCCTCATCTAAGCCAGGAAGGTAAATTTAAAATAGTCACTAGTCCACACTATTTGGTTAGAGAACTGTATTTAAAGAATACTAAATCTGAAAAGTATAATTGTGACTTGGTCTGCAAAACATTTGTAAAGCTTTTTATTTTTTTATTTAGTACCACAATCCCAATTAAGCAGATGTGTGTTGCAGAATGCACAGTTTGCCTACAGAGTTAAAACACTCCTACTGTTTGCTTTTTTGAGATGGAGGTTTTGATTGCTGCTACACTGGTGCACTTTGGGGTAATTCAACATATCCCTTTAGTTTATTCAGCATGCATTTTCTAAGTAGTGCAGCAAATAACACACCAGGTTAATTTCTGATACTTGATATTAATTAACTGGGGTCAGCATGTGTATTTTCTTCCCTTATTTTGAAAAGATTAGGTAGATGTTTCATGGTTTCTGCAACAGTTGACATTTGGTGAGATATTTTCTTACCTTTACTTTTTTACCAAGACGATCCTTCCATTTCTCAGCTATGGAGCCTTCCACCAAGAGTAACCTATGCAACGGAGACTACCAGTTACTCCATCAACAGGCACGCAAGCTATACAACACAACACATGCAAGACTAACATCTCTGTGCCTGCAGAGTGCCTTGTCCCTCCTGAATACCATTAAGAAGATGTACATAGAGTCACACCAAGTTCTCCTTAGCTGGTGGCTCTGAAGTTCAGCTTTACAGGCAGGGGAACAAACAACAACAAATATGTTCCACGGACAATGCAGAAAGAGTTACCTGGAGCGCTCCTCGTCTTCATAGCCCATAATGATGTACTCTTCGTTGGTGCTGAGCAGTGGGCACAGGCAGCCAGAGTTCGTGTGAAGGTTTACAGTGTCCTTTGGGATGTTCACCAGGGAAGATTTTAGGATATCCTTTACTTCCACTACTGCAGTGATGTCGTGACATTTAGTCTTCACCTCCTTCACTTTAGCCCGAATGACTGGTAAAAAAGTCAAGAAGAGTATAGTTAGCAGCAGTAGATAATGCAGGTCACCCCCAAGCCCTTCTTGGTGACCACTGGGATTAGCCTTTTGCATGGTGTATTATCAATAGCTTAGCTTAACTCCAGCAATGTCCCTCCCCCAATCTCTTCATTACTTCATCCTCCACCACGAGGGTCCAGACAGCTCATTATATCTCACAGTAGTATGGTCACAACCAGGAGTTACCTGTTGGATTTGCATCCTTTTCAAGTTGGGCTTAATTTTTAGCAACCCCCCTTCTTCGCCCTTTCCAGTTTGAACATATTTATTTAACTCCCGAGCTGTAAATGCTCCCTCTTTGACTATATGCAGTACAGATGAGTGAATTAAATTCGTCACTCTCAACCTATTGTGAAATGTGAATGTGCATTAAAACTTCTCATATCACTGCTTCTATTGGATGACAGGCCCTTATCTTGTTTATTCTCTTTCCAGTGACCTAGCACCAATCTGCTCTGTTCTTTATTAACTCCAAACGCTCCTGATCTTGACCTGGTGACCCATCTAACTGTTTCTTCCCTCACCCTTTCTTTTTGCCATAAGTTGCATAGGAGGAAAAGTTGACTGTCCAAGGCAATGTTTTTTTGATTTCCTCATGGCAATCAGTGAACTGATACCACATGCAAATGCAAAGCTAATCCAGAGGTCATGTTCTAGAGAATACCACCTCTTTCACAGCTTGCAAACACAAGTCCCTTTCCACTACAAATAGCAGATTCTCAATTTCTTCTAACCTATGTGCAAAAAGTAATACGGAAGAAACAAAACCAAGGACTTCTTACATCTCTATTCACATGCACTGCCCATAAAGACAATCGGCCAGCATGTTTTGCAGCCACATTAAAAACTGCTGCCAACAATTGATAGCTGTTACGCATTTAACATGTACAACTTACCCCAAGAGATCCACTTCCTTAAAACCTCTTTAAGATTTCCTTAAAAACTCTTTAAGAAAAGTAACAGCCTGGACCTCTGATATGCCTGAAGACCACGACAATCCAGACAAGACAGGACATAATACGGACTCCATGCACTTTCACAGGTATTACTGACAGCATAACACAGCTTGCAGAGATGCTTACTGCAGGCTTTGATATGTGAGAAGGAAACAACCTAGTATGCCTGTTAGATCCCATGGTGAGTTTGTGGGCATGGAGGTTAGTAAAAACATCCTTTCCTGTGAAAGGATCAGAGCTGGGAATCAAAGAGGCAGTTCACGCATAGCACGCATGTCATTTTTGTCACATCACTTTTCACACTAAAGAAGTGCACAAACCCAAGATGCCTGCGCTGACACTGAAATAACACTCAACGTCAATAAAGACACTCGTACACTAACACATGAAGCTAATCCCTTCCATCCTTCTAATTTGGAAATGTTTCAGGCCACATCTTCCTTCTGTAATAAGTACCAGTGGATTAACCATCAGTAATTGGGCCCATAGTCTTTTTTAATGAAAAAATTTCCCCTTACTTTAGCCTGAAAAATGCTAGGAGCTGGCCATGCAGCTGTCCTTACCGTAGTTATAATTGTTGCGTAGATAGGTCTTCTGGGTAGCTTTTACAGGCTTGCATTTGCAGCGCTCTAGAAGACAGAAACTTTTGTTTAGAAAGAAAAGAGTGTATGTTCAGTGACAATCTCATGCCTAATGAGAACTGCACTGAATTAACTTGTTTATTACAGGCATGTGAAATTTCAAAACCCACAGGGTATTCCTGGTCTGCTCTGCTGGAAGATGTTGTGGAACCCTCCATGAGATCTCAAAGGTTTCTACCAGAAAACTTGGCATGCTGAAATTTAAAAAACAAAACAAAACACAACAAAACTACTACAACCAACTAACCCCACAAGAACAAAGACACAAGGACCTGGAGTCTGAAGTGACAAGATCTTCCATTATAAGCCAATTCAAGGTTTAATCTTGGTTTCTTCTATGCTTGCAAGTGCTGTGATTCCATATCCTTACAATGCCATTCTCTCTTCTGTACTACATTACTGAATGCCCTCCCTTCTGCACCTTTAATCATACAGACCATAATACAGACACAGAAAGAAAATACTATGACAGAGCATGGTTTAACATTTGATTGGAGACTACACATCTCAGCTCTGTTTAACATATTGGGATATGCTGGCTAGCATGCATTCACCATACGAAATATGATTTTTATGGCTAATTCTCAATGTACAATCCATATCTAGAACTGCACCAGAAGATTTCTTACAGTGGCACAGCCCCTTTACACCTAAAGATGCCTAAGAGCTACAGCCAACAGATGAAGCATGTTGGAGGGCAGTGGGACCAAGCAGCATGTAGCTCTCTGCTTCTGAACGCTTCTGGGACGGTCCCAACAAAATGAAACTCCAACCATGTTTCTTCAGCAGTGTCTGGTAGGAGATTTAAGATATTAAGTTTAAAATTAAGAGGCTGAAGGGTCTTGACTACTGCAAGTGCTTAGTGTTACCTTTGATCTTGCTCTGGACTCTCCCTCTAATTAATAAAGCCAGTCTTGAGCAAATGGTCTTTGACTGAACTGTACATTAGTCTTTACCAGACTTGGCTGGTCTGTTGAACTTCGTGCTCTACACAGGACTAACCTAGATGGATATTTTAGAGCACTAAATGGAGAATATTAAGCACTGGCACATTTGCATTTGATTTTACCAATCCTGTAACAAAACAAACCAAAAAAGGCATTTCAAACATAGGGCTAGTGGAGCTGCCTGGAAAGGCTACCGCCAATCCTCCTGATAAATTTATGCTGGGGATCATCAGACCTGAGTATAATTTAAGCCCATGCCACACATGTGGAATTCAGACACCTTTCTGTCTGAGTTTGCTGTGTAAAATTATGACCCACAACTTCAGGTTAATCACCACAGGGAAATTATTAGCCCTTATAGCACTAAGGATCCCCTTCAAAAGACAACAGAAATGAGCATCGTCACAGCAGCATTTCCAGTGGTGCAGCTGCCAGACAGGTGGGAACCACAACAGAGGTAAAAGCTCTTTCATTAGTGCCTGGGGAGTGCTGGGGCTGAAGCTCCAGATCTGCGTGCTCATTAACACCACTGATATTTCACAGCTGGTTGTTCCAATGCAAATATTTACTTATTGCAAGCTAGTGTGTAACTGGAGTTTGGAGGAGTCGTATAGTCAAGCGCAGCTGACTGATAGCTCCCCCACCAAGGCCACTGCTGCAGCCACTGCAAACAGCAGGTCCCAGGATAACATATATGTGGTCATCTATTTTGACATGTGACTTGACATTTAAGTGTAAGTAGACTTCATGCAGCCTATTTCTACACACCACTGTTCTAAAGTAACAATGCATTTAGCTAGTAACTAAGTTAAATCCAACGTGAAAAAGAACTTTGATTTGCTACATAAGACTTTTGCATTTAAAAAAAAAGAAGAGATGGCATCATATGCTTATGGACTTATCAAATCTTTGTTTATTTTGTACTGAAAGAATTTTTGTAGTTGAAAATACAAAAAAAAATACAAGAAAGAAGAGAACATTTCACAAGAGGATATTGTTTCCTTGAATATCAAACACATCCTCAGGAATCTATATATAGAGTCCTACAGACTTCAGCTTTTGTATGAGACTGTGTTAAAATAATAAATTCAGAAAAAGGAAGTGATTTTTGACTTTTCTTCTGCCTGTGGGAGCTCACATATACTTTAGGTCAAATCATGGCCCATTTTGCAAGCTGCCTCGAAACAGCCATAAAAGATGTGCTCCTATGACCCAGGCTCATGCAGGCATCTCAGCATTCATGTCCAACAAGTCGTACACTTTTATGTTCTGCTGCTCTACAGTGCTTTGCTGTGTGGCACAAGTGGAATAAAATAGTCTAAATTACAAGACAAGAATACATGGCCTCATATTTCCCTCAATTTTAAGACAGCATTGGATTATTTTCTTGTATTGATTTGAACAACATATTTTATTGATTTGATGAATATATTTTATTAGTCTTGTTCTAGACCTGCCCATGTTCTTAATGATGGGTATCTCCTAGTCGCCCTACTGCTTTTCAAAGTTTCACTTCAAAGAACTTTACAAAATGCTGCATTATTTCTAACTACTCTTTAGAGATACAGAAAGTAACAGAGTCACTTGCCAAGGACAGCTATAAAGTCAGTCGCAGAGCTAGAACCAAATCCTCTCTCCCAACTCCTGCTACAGTGACTTTCAAAGGAAGCACAGCATGAGTATTAAAGAACCCATATGTTACTCATGCACATTTCTTGCGGAATACCCACAAAAGATGGCTATAAAAACATTCTGCATCTCTTGATGCTGAGGGAAAGTCCCATCTTACATGACAGTCTCTTCTGAAGCTGCCAGAATTACCAGAAGATCTCAGAGACCACGACAACATCATATCCCAAGCACCGAAACAGACAAAGAGGTTCACAGCAATTCTAACTCTGTCATTAAATATTATTTTTTAATACAAGTCAACATAGGACTAACAAAAGCTCAACACCTAAACTTTTGAAAACTTCTCCCTATATAAACACAAAAACAAAGGGACTACATGGGAAAAGGATTTTCTGCACGTCACTACCAAGAAACGTGCCCTCTTAAGTATACATGCATGCACAGTCTAAAACTTGGCTGTAATAGTGATTAGTATAAGCACTCAAACCTGGCAAATGCTTCCCTTATAAAATAAGGATTAAAAAAAACCTCAAAACACGCTTGGAAAACTTCTAAGTGACTTGAAAAGCATCTGATGAAGCAGACAACAATGTAGTTTACTGTCCAACAATGTAGTTTGCTGCCCCCCCCCCCCCCCCCCCACACCCCGCGACCCGAGTG